CCTCCTCCTCCTCCTCCTCCTCCACTACCACCATCACCAGCACTACCACTTTTCTTTCTTTCTTCTTAATTTATTTTATGTGTTTAAGAGTTTTGTCTGTATGAATGCATATGTAGCATGTGCATGGCTGGTGTCCACAGAGGACAGAAGAAGGCACGGGATCTCTTGGAAGATGGTTGCAAGCTGCCGTGTGGGATGGAACTTGGGTCCTCTTAACTGCTGAGCCATCTCTCCAGCCACTAAAACATCCTCTTCTGACTTCTGAAGGTATCAGACATGCACACAGTACACATACACACATGCAGGCAACACAGACACACACAGACACAAACACGAGCAACAAAAACAAAGCCAGTGGGTCCCTATTGGCTGTGCCTAGCTGGATTTGACATGGCTGTGCACCCTTCTGCAGAAATAAAACTTTCTGCCTTTTCAGAAATACTTTGGATCCTGTGGTCATTTTCTCGAGATCACAGACTATAACAATCAAAACCCTTTCTCTAAATAAAAAGTAAAAGGACACCTTTTAAAAGACAGGCATGGTGACGTAAGCCTGTATCTAGGCAATCAAGAAATTGATGCAGGATTGCCTTGAGTTTGTGGTCAGCAGCCTTGGCTATATTCTGAATTGCAGGCCAGCCTGGGCAAGGGAAGGACGGGGAGAAGAGGGGAAGGAGGAGAAGGGAGAGAGAGGGTGAGAGAGCTCGAGCGAGTTAGAGCGGAAAGCGTTGGAGAAATGACTGTTTCGCTCACACCCAAGTCCTCAGTCGTGTCCCTAAGGGTCAAAGTGTTAACCTGAGCCCAAGCTCGGAGAGCAGAGTCCTGCAGCTCCGACAGAAGCTGCCGCCTGTGCGCGTCCTTGCGTTGGCCCCTCCTCCAGCCCCGCAGGCAGAAGACGTCGAAAATGGCGCTGCGCTGGGGAATCGTGTCGGCTGGCTTAATTGCCAGCGACTTTACCAGCGTGCTGAGCTCACTGCCTCCCTCGGAGCACCAGGTGCACCTCCCTTGGAAGACACGGGTCTGAGGGAAGAGAGGAGCCGGGGGTCTAAGGAAGAATCCCTAGTCCAAGGATCGAGGGAGGAGAGTCCCTAGGTCTAAGATAGGCAGTGACTCTAGAAGAGAAGGGGCCCCTTCGTCTGGTCCCCAAGACCACAAGAGGCTTGTTTTCAGTTCCCTCCTCCTCTTCACCTCAGTCTTGTAAACTGTGCTTGAGGTTTGCAGGGGGTGGGGTCTCAGCTGCTGGGTTGTGAAGCCATTGTGCAGTCGGAGACTGAATCCTGGCTCGCTCATTCAGAGACTCCCTTTTTCTCTTTATTCAGTCTTCCCCTGTACCAAGCACAGCCTAAGGCTGGCTTTCCACCGTCCATCTGCTTCCCCTCCCCGACAGTAATATCTTCCCTAGCCATCTTGGAGGAGGCCACGCTCCCACTGCAGCCTCCTCCATTGCTTTCGTCTCCTCTACTTTATCTTCCACGCCTTTCTTTTCTTTTCTTCTTCTTTTTTTCTTGTTAGTTTGTTTTTTGTTTTGTTTTTTGTTTTGTTTTGTTTTTGAGACAGGGTTTCTCTGTACAGCCCTGGCTGCCCTGGAACTCACTCTGTAGACCAGGCTGGCCTCAAACCATATCTCAACCCTTTGAATCCAACACTAGGTGGTAGCGGTAGCTGCGAGGGACCTGAACCGGGCGGAGGAGTTTGCACAGAAATACAACATTCCTAAGGCCTATGGCTCCTATGAGGAACTGGCCAAGGACCCAAATGTGGGTGAGTGCCCTGGACGGAGGTGGTCTAACCGTATAGCCCTGGGTGGCTTGAAACTTTACTATGTAGATCAGGCTGACCTCAGATTCACAGAGATCCACCTGCCTGGGTTTCCAGTTTCTAAGGTGTGGGCTAGCATGGCTGGTCTCCAATTGGTGGTCCTCCTGCCTCAGCTTCTCAAAAGTGTAACTGTCTTTTGCTATTTTGTGAGTTCTTTCTCCCACCGTTCTCCACCTCTTCTTCCTTCCTGTCAGTGCCCTAACACTAGATAAGAGAAAAAAAAAAAAGGACCAAGAGGGAAGAAAGAGATCCCTGAATAAAGTCGGGGTGGGGGAGGATGTTATCAGTAACCTACTTCTTGCTGATTATGGGCAAGTTTGATTATCCTTATCAGAATATCTAATTTCATTTTGTTTCTTCTTTGTGCATGACTATTTAACAAGCCTCAACCAGCAACCCACCTCTGGGGGCCCTAGCATTTATATCCCCTCTGAAAAGTCACCAGAATTCCAAATATCACACAGTCACAGAAACTCTCTGCAGCTGGCAGAACCACACACACCTCTGCTAGAGCACGAGGCATATCATACTCACCTGCTGTGGACAGTATGGAGCAGCCCCATATCCCACACCTGGGATTAAAATGAAAATGGATTCTTCTGTGTTTTTTAAAGAAACCAAAATTTCTAAATTGTCACTACCCAAAAGCTTGGTAGTCTCTTCCCAATTAGACTACTAGGACTGTATTCACAGCCTTGTCCCTGAACACTGGCGGCCAGGCCTCTTGTTGACAGGGCTGCTGACCTCCCTTCTTTCCTTCCGTCTTCCTACCCCAGAGGTGGCCTACATTGCCACCCAGCACCCCCAGCACAAGCCAGTGGTACTGCTCTGCCTGGCGGCAGGCAAGGCTGTCCTTTGCGAGAAACCCATGGGCGTGAATGCAGCAGAAGTTCGGGAGATGGTTGCCACAGCCCGTTCTCAGGGCGTCTTCCTTATGGAGGTAAGCCTGGAGAGGCCCCTCTCACTCTATACAGCACCGTCTGCCAGTACTAAACATGGTTGCCCAGGTTTGCCCACAGTCAAAATACACCACTACCACACACACAAAAGGATCACAATCTCTGTGTTGGCCAGGATGCAACTGAATCTATCATCTAGTCACAGACTCAAGATCATTTCTCCCCACTTGAAGGAAAAGTATTTATTTAGAAAGCAAGAAAACCAAAGAAGATAGAGGCCATTTTGCTTAGGGGTTGCTGGGGCAAGACTTACCTAGGGAGTCACAGGGAGGCGTGTCAGGCAGAGCTCAGGAGAGTTCCATGGCATTGCAGGAGCTCAGCTTTCCAGATGCACCCATGCTTTTACGGCAGGTTACTGCTGGCTTTGTGGACCTAAGGAACCCACAGATAAGAACAGTGACTCAGCCTTTGTATCCTCCACTCCCAGGAAGAGTTAGACAACGGCACGCAAAAAGCTTCCTTCTCCCGGAGAACAGGAGAGCAATATCAGGAGATAATGAAAGGCTACTTTCTCAGAATTCCATCCTTGATACAGGGGAGGTAACATCCGCAGCAAGGGAGGCTTTAACTCCTTACATGGCTCTGGTCATCTACAGCAAAGCTTATGGGGGACTCAGAATTTACCACCAAACTGTAGGACTTTCAAAATACTGATTTTTTAAAAAAGACCCTTTAGCTGGGCAGTGGTGGCACATGCCTTTAATCCCAGCACTTGGGAGACAGAGGCAGGCAGATTTCTGAGTTCAAGGCCATCCTGGTCTACAGAGTGAGTTCCAGGATAGCCAGAGCTACACAGAGAAACCCTGTCTCAACCCCTCTCCCCCCAAAAAGACCCTTTATATTAGAGTTATTCATTTGATTTAATTTGCCATGTGTATATTTGGTGCCCACAGAGGTTAGAAGTTGGTGTCAGATGCCCCAGACCTGAAGGGGTTGTGAGTACCATGTAGCTGGCTGGTAGGAGGCAAACCTGGGTCCTCTCCTCTACAGGAACAAGTGCTCTTAAGCACTGAACTGTTCTCTCCAGCCCCTGACTAAAGTCAACCAAGAAGAGATCAGGTGTTTAACTTGAGCACTCAGGAAGTAGAGGCAGATGGTTCTCTCTGAGTTTGAATCCAGCCTTGTCTACACAGCAAATGTCTGGCCAGCTAGAGCTACACAGTGAGACCCTTGTCTCAAAAAGGAAGAAGGAAGGAAGGAGGGAGGCAGGCAGCCAGCCAGCCAATCAACTTAGAGGTACTGAAGAGATGCTGGCATGTAACTCAGTGGACAGAGTGCTTGCCTGGGTTCCATCCCCAGGACCACATGAAGCAGTGTGGTGCTTCACTGCTGTCATCTCAGCACTGGGAAGGAGGCGGAGGCAGGAGGATAAGAATTCGAGGCTGTTCAGCATGGTAGTGAATGCTTTTAATCTTAGCACTCGGATCTGTCTGTCCTAAGACAGACAGACAGAGTTCCAAGATCATGTCATCTCATTTGTTTAAGGCTGGAACTGAAGAGAACACTGGATGCTCTTCCAGAGGACCAGAGTTCAGTTCTCAGCACACACACAGTTCACAGCCATCTGTAACTACAGTTTCATGGGGTTTTGGAAGCCCATGTGTATACACAGATTCACAAATAAAATGAAACTTTATTTAATAAAGTGCAAGGTTATTTCCACTTCATAAAGAGCTGAATTACATGAATCCCTTTCTCAGAGGAAAACGAAGTCACCCCAAAATTAGGTCAGCAGAACTATGCAAGGATCATGCTGTCATAATCCTGAGCAAACTCGGCAGAATTTGCTCAGACAGTGTGGGATGTGCTTTAGCCTTCAGGTTAGATCTTAGGGGAAAGAGAAGAGAGAAGGTTTGGAAAGAGGAAGAGAAGAATTTCTTTTCCTCTCCCTCCCTCCCTCCCTCCCTCCTTCCCTCCCTCCCTCCCTCCCTCCCTCCCTCCCTCCTTCCCTCCCTTCCTTTTGAGATAGTGTTGCTCTACTTAGCCCTGGCTCTTGGCTCTCCTGGAATTCGCTATGTAGAAGACCAGGTTGGCCTCAAATTCTCAAATTCCTAGTAGTCCACCTGCCTCTGTTTCTGTTGGGGTCCAGCCTTGACACAGGATTAGAGTTCTTAACTGGAAGCAGCGATATCTGGAAGGCACATAATAAACAGACACAGACTGCTTTTGGGGTACAAACAGGCAAGTTCTCAAGGCTTACATTTTCTCTCTTGTCTCTCTCACTCTCTCCTTTCTTTCTCTCTCACTCATTCGCTTGCAGCTTGAGACTACACAGACTCTGCATTCTCCTGTGCACTCTGCTTTTCCCCTGTGCGCTTTTCTTTTCAGGAACTCCCACACTCCTACACACCTCTGTGCGTTCCCCTTTCACTCACACATACACTCTTTTTTTTTCCCCAATGTAGTTCTTCATTTTAATGTCAAGTTTAAAAAATAAAAATCAGATAACCATTCAAACAAGCACCTCCAATAGTGGAAGGATGGCAGCTTAGCCAGTAGCCTAGGACAGGCAGCTGGCACTCTGCAGGCTCAGTGGACATTGGCTGCAGTCTACCTCACTAACCCTGGGGGCAGACATGATTTGTCCTGCGTTTCCCAGAGCAAAGGGCAGACTGGCCTGGTGGGCATAGTTGGCCCCAACACAGGTTCTTCTTGGCAAGCAATAGGCAACCCAGGCTCACAGTGGCCTGGCATGTGGTTCACAAAGCCAGGGAGCTGCCTTGCACACACACACTTTTCACACACACCTCACACACCACATGCATTCCCCTTTCACTCACACATACATTCTCCTCACACTCTCTCTCTCTCATTCTCTCCACTCACTCTTCACATTCTCTCTCTTCACCTTATATTCTCTCTTCACTCACTCTTTACACACACCTCACTCTCACCTCACTCACTTTTCACTCTCTCTCCACTTGCACTCTCATCTTTTTCTTGCCCGAGTCTTTTATTGATATTCCAAAAGCAGGTAGAAAAAAAGACATTGTACAATCATTGCCAAATCAAATTCAAGAGAATAACCTCATCCTACAAAGAATTAAGAATTACAATTGTTCCCCAAAGTTTCAAGCTTCCCTGTTCCCAGGCCAAAATATACCAATTACAATCTTATCATTATTTAAACTTTAACTTTTAACGTATTACACTTCAGACCTCAGAGCTCCAAGGTCAGCTACTTGCATTTTCCTGTGAAGCTCTAATGATAAATGACATGGGCAAAGCTGCCAGGCAGTGGCCGGAAAGAGTCAAATTAACCCTTAACTCAGTAGTTCCACTAGCTTTCTACTTATGAACACTGCACACGATGACTCTCCTAAGACTCCCAGTGTTTTTGGCTTAGTTTTACTAGTATATAATTTTATGTATCTATATTTCTGTACCTAGGTACCACTCTTAAATGTTGTGCAAAACTTATTTCAAAACTTTAGTAGTTTTTTTCCTTTCTCAGGGTCCCAATGTTGGCTCTATTTCATTTTCTAATAATTTCTTCAAACCTTCTTTGCAAGTCAAGCATTAGTCAGGAACTACCATTGTGCAGTTATTGCATTGTTTCCAAGATGAGAACACACAGCATGCACCTGGGCCATTAGGACTGTGCTGTGCTGTGCCCCATGCCTCAATTTTTAATTGTTTAAGAATCATTACATCAAGGAACATCTAGTTTCACAGAATTCACCAGAGCAGAAGGAGAAAGAAATAGGAAAGTCATATATAATAGATAATTATGCACACCAAGGCCAACTGAAAAGCAGCCACACACAAATGAAATTTACACAGCCATTGTCCAGGGCTAAGGTTAGGAGAAATGGGAACAACTTTTTTTTTATAAAGAGCTTCCACAGGCTACTGAGATGTCTCCATCCCCGCCTGCTGCTGGCAGTCTGTGTCATGGTATGCTGTTCCCAGCATGTCTCCAGAGCTCGATGAGTAAAGGCGTGTACTGCTATGCCCACCAATATAGTTTTTAAAGGGCTAGAGATGTTTTGAGACTCTGGGTTAAGGCCCACCTGCCCAAGGAATAGCGCTGCCTACAGTAGGCTGGGCACGCCTACAGCAGTTAAAATCAAGGCACTCCCTCACAGACATGCCGACAGGGCAATCTGATCTAGGCAGCTCCTCCATTGAGACTCACTTTTGCTACACAGTATGCTGGAAGACAGCCTGGGCTGCATAATATCCTGTCTTTAAAAAAAAATGTGTACGGGACAGAGACGGTTGGTACTTGAAACCTGAGGTGATGGTCCCCGTGGGAAAGGTCAGCACATTGTACTGGGGGCTCTTGCTATGGAGAGATAACTGTGTTTTGGATAGGGGGAGCAGTGGCTATCCCTCGCTAAGGGAGGTGTGGCTGATTACCTCAGTACTGATTCCTCCATTTCCTTGGGTTCGTCTCTCCGGTCTGCAGGCCATTTGGAGCCGTTTTTTTCCTGCCATGGAGGCTCTGCAGGAAGTTTTGGTCCAAGGAACTATCGGAGACCTACGAGTGGCCCGGGCAGAATTTGGGGTTGATTTAAGATCTGTACCCCGGGCCACATCCTGGAACCAGGCCGGAGGTGGTCTGCTGGACCTAGGTATCTACTGTGTCCAGTTCCTCTCCATGGTCTTTGGTGCACAGAAACCAGAGAAGATTTCAGCTGTGGGGAGGATTCATGAAACAGGTACTTCATAGTTTCGAATGACTGGCTGTAGGAGGCATTCTCTCTCCAATCTCCTGCCCCCTCCTTCGCCCCAGCAAATCGAGTTCGACAGCTGGAGGAACTTCCTGGAGGGATAACGCACCTAGACAAGTAAAGAACTACCATTCCCAGAATCGCTAGTGGCACATATGCACATGGTTTAAGCAAGTAGCTGCCCCATGGCATTCTGGGAAATGCAGTTCAAAGAACTAACATCCCGGGAAATGTGGGCGGGGCCCAACATCTCTTTCAGAATCCTCTGAAACTCATCTTGTGCTCCTTTTCACACAGGCCAGTTCTTTAATGGGCTCTCATGTGATCTGAGACTGGACAGATGATTCTTAATTACTTGACTGGTCAAATGTTAATAATAAGGGTGTTAGTGGGAGTTAATGAGGAATTAAATAACTGTTAAGGCAAATGAGCAACAGTTAAGAAATACAAACAGTTGACTCCTGGCAGTAAGGGTGCATGCCTTTAATCCCTGTGCTGGCACAGGCAGGCAGATCTACGTGAATTCAAGGCCAACCTGGTCTACAAAGCGAGTTCCAGGACAACCAGGGTTATAAAGACTGAAACCTTGTCTTGAAAACAAAACAAACAATTTTTTTTGTGTGTGTATGGCTGTTTTGCTTCCCTGCCAGGTGCCCTCCAGAAGATCTCTTGAAACCAGATCTCTTGAAACTAGAGTTGCAGACCTTTGAGAGCTGCCAGTGGGTGCTGGTAACTGAACCTGGGTCCTCTGTGAGAGCAGCTGGTTCTCTTAATTCCTGAGCCATCTCTCCAGCCTCCTAGCTTTCTTTTGAAGTAGTAAATAGAACCCAGAGCCTGAGCATACCACAAAAGAGACCTGACTTCTTTCTTTTTAGCACTCTTTGTTGGTTTGTTAATATATTTTATTTTATTTTATTTTATAAACAAAGCTTACTAGCCTCAAACTCACAGAGATTTGCCTACTTCTGCCTCCCAAGTACTGGAATTAAAGGTCTATGTCATCATGCCTAGCACTGTGAACTCGGTTTTTGTTTTTTTGGGGGTGGGGTGGGCACAGGGTTCAAGACAGAGTTTCTGTTTATATAGCCCTAGCTGTCCTGGAATTTACTCTATAGACCAGCTGTGCTTGAACTTAATTAAAGGATCCTCCTGTCTCTGCCTCCTGAGTGTTGGGATTAAAGGAGTGCACCCCTACCCTGCCTGTTTTTTGGTTGTTTTGGTTTTTTAAAGATTTATTTTATTTTCATCTGTGTGTGTGTGTGCGCGTGCGCGCGCGCGCGCGCTATGTGAGTGCAGAGGTCAGAGGAGGAATGGGATCCCTTGAAACTGGAGTCACAGACAGTTGTGAATTGAACCCACATATTCGACAAGAGCAGCAAAGGCTCTCACCCACGGAGCCATCCCTTCAGTCCTGAGAGATAACTCAGATACCATACAATTACTCCTTCAAAATACATAATTAGCTCAGGGTACTGTGGTTCAGGAGTTACCCCAGCCTTTAGGAGAAGGAGGTAGGAAGACACCATGAGTTCAGAGCCAGCCTGGATTGCACAGCGAGACCCTGTCCTATAAAACAAAGCAGGCCAGGCGAGATGGCTCAGCGGGTCAAAGGTGTCTACCATGGAAGCCTCAAGAACAGAGTTAGGTCCCCAGAATTCAGGAAAAGATGGAAAGGGAGAATTCCCCAGAGTCATATAACCTCCACCCATGTGCTGCGGCACATGTCCCTCTGCATGCACAACATACTCACTAACAATAAATTAGAAATGTAAAAGCCAACACTGTTCAGTCAAGCATGGTGGTGTCTGCCTGTAATCCCAGCTCTTGGGAAATGAAGGGGATCAGGAGACAATTGTCTAATACATAGGAAGTCTGGGATGAGCTTGTGCGCCTGGAGATTCTGTCTCCAACAAACAGAACCCAGCAACACCAACAAAAACAAAACAACAGCACACAGGCCATGTGTCTGGGCCAATGTTGGAGAGATGTGTAGTCTGACTCAGGCCTCAGCCCCATGCTGACTTGTAAGCCTTCTTTGCAGGTGTGGACGACACTGTCAGTGTGCTACTTCAGTACCCAGGAGGGGTTCATGGTAGCTTCACCTGCAGCATCTCCTCGAGCCTCACCAACACAGCGTATGTGAATGGTACTAAGGGCATGGCCCAGGTGAGACATCACATCCCAGGGGACCCTGTGCAGCAGCCATCAGAGGGGATGCCTGGAGCTGCAGTAACCTTTTTCTTACCATGCTTCTGAGAGGCTCAAACCCATTAACAACCAAGCCAGGGGATGGGGGTTGGGTCTTGGAAGCCACAGTCCCATACCCTCAGGCCTTAGGATAAACGGATTCTTCTTATGTATGGGTTTTGGTGCTAGGAATGGAAGCCTAGCCTTCCTGAGTGCTAAGCGTGTGCTCTACCACCCAGTCACTCTCCAGCCCCACGTTCCTCCTTGCTGTATGTGCTGCTTTCCCTACTCCTGTGAGCACACATCCGACTGAAGGGACGCTTTGTTTGGCTCAGGGTTTCTGTTTCATGGGGAAGGCGTGGAGGATGAGCCAGTTTGGTCTGGAACTATGGAAGCTTTCCATACAGCATGTTCACACCATGGTAGTGAGCAAGCAGTGTAGTGAGAATTTTGGATTCTTTAAAACAAAACAAAACACAGAAATAGGAATGTGCTGTCATTTTACACCCTGTTGTGAGGCTGCTTCAGACTGTCCACAGCAGCTGACTAGGATTTGCCTCGTGCTTTGGCAGGGGCGTGATTTTGCCAGCTGTAGAGAGCTTCTGCGATTGTGTGACATTTGGGATTCTGGGGACTTTTCAGAGGGTGGATGGTTGGTTAGTTGTGATGATTTTGGCTGGGTAAGCAGTCATGTGCAAAGAAGAAGCAAGAAGACATTAGATGGTGAAGATCAAATCTGCCCCAGGGAGCTTGATGCCCCTAATCAGCAGGGAGGCGTCTAACAATACCGTAGCATCCTTTCCCTTCTATACTTCTTTCCTCTACTATCTAGTGTTAGGGGCTTGAAAGGATGGAAGAAAAAGGGGAGAAGTGTGGAAGAGAGAAAACCCACAAAGTAGCAAAGACAGGCTACAAAGCTGTCTTAGCCCTGCCTCAGAATTCACAACTTTCTGAAATAGCTCCACCTGCTGGAAGCCATGTGTACAAACGTCTGATTCTGTGAACAGTCGAGGTTCCAAACATTATGCCAGCCTAGAACATTCCAGCTGCATGTGTGATCTTTCTTTCTAGTTGTTTCCAGACACTATGTATCTATCACTAGAGGTCAGGTTTTCCTGAAATAAATCCTGATTCTGGTCTGAAGGTGTGGCTCAGTGGAAGGCTTGGATAGCATATATGGTACCCTGCACTTGACACCTAGCTGCCAAAGAAAGGAAGTCCTGCTGGCCTAGAGGTGCAGGGAGAATGACAAGTTCCAGGCCATCCTGGGCTACAGAGGGATTTCAAGGGCAGTCTGGGCTACTTAACCAGACCCTCAAAAGTAAAAAGTACAAAGGGAATCTGGAGACACAGGGTAATGATCTGGCTTAGAATCCTAGAGTGAGGAGCTGTAGGCATGGCTCAGTTGTAGAGGTCTTTTTTTAGTGTGTACCTGATAGTGTGTTTGATCCCTAACACTTCAATAAAAATTTTTTTTAAAGATTTATTATATACCTATACATACATATGAGTACACTGTGGCTGTCTTCAGACACACCACCAGAAGAGGGCATTGGATCCCATTACAGATGGTTGTGAGCTACCATGTGGTTGCTGGGAATTGAACTCAGGAAGAGCAGTCAGTGCTCTTAACCGCTGAGCTATCTCTCCAGCCCCCTTAATAAACAGTTTGTAATGAAAGAAATCCTCTATATAACAAGTTAAACTATAGAATAATTTGAGCCTTTCCCTGTGTTTTGAGGGACTTTACCCATCCTGCCCTCATGTCCCAGCTGTCATCTGTGTTTCTGTTCTGTCCTACAAGTAGGCCGAGGGCTAGTTTAACTTCCAGGTCATCTACCAGATATGAAGGAAGATGTTGTATGGAAATCAGGTATGATCATACACACTCGTAACCTCAGGCAGAATCAGAAGTCCAAGAGCAACCTCAGCTTCACAGAGAGTTGGGGGTCCAACCTGGGCTACATGAGACTTTGCCTCGAAATTTAAAAAAAAAAAAAAGGGATGGGAACCAAGAATGATGATACCAAGCCGGGCAGTGGTGTCTTACACCTTTAATCCCAGCCCTTGGGAGGCAGAGGCAGGCGGATTTCTGAGTTCGAGGCCAGCCTGGTCTACAGAGTGAGTTCCAGGATAGCCAGGGCTACACGGAGAAACCCTGTCTCAAAAAACCAAACCAAAACAAAACAAAAAAAAAATGATGATACCAGCTTGTAGTGCTAACACCCAGGACACTGTGGTAGTAAGCCTTCACTACATGGCAGAAGGAGCTCCTGGTCTTCAGGTCTAAGGTCCTTTGATTCTGGGGAGACAACGACAGATCTTAGTATGACAGGGCCATTGCTAAGGAACAAACTATTCAGCCTCAATTCAGGTAGAAGGCAAGCCTGAGCCTCACAGATTGAGCGGGAGTAAATGCTTAGCTCGCAGGTGCCAGAGCTGGTCCCTGGGTACCACTCGGTGTGTTGTCCGGAGTAAAGTCCCTGAGCCTTGTTGGAAAGGGCCAACAGAGTAGTCACTTGTTATCTTCCTCCAGATTCTCAAAACATGGTGCCCAACAGAGCTGGTGGTGAATGGCGAGCGTAAGGAGTTCCCTCCGCCTGCCCTCGGGAAAGAGTACAATTTTTTAAATGGATCATGCTTGCTCTATGAAGCCAACCACGTCCGGGAGTGCCTTCGTAAAGGTGAGGAGGGGTGGAGGACTGCACTGGGACTAGGTCTGAGGGGGATATTGTGTTCTAGCCTGTCCTGAAGCACAGGCAGCTATTTAGAACTACATCTCCCAGGATTCAGAGGGATATCTGCCTTCTCAAACCACCCTGCCTATGGCATAAAGACTTCTGGGAATCTTAGTCCTCCTGCTGTTTGATGCGTGAGCTTTAGACAGGTCTTCCTGTGGTCTCTCTTCCCAGGTCTTAAGGAGAGTCCTGTAGTTCCTCTTGCTGAGAGTGAGCTCCTGGCTGAAATCCTTGAGGAGGTGAGGAAGGCCATTGGAGTCACCTTCCCCCAGGATAAATGCTGATGCACCTCCTCTTCCTACGTGGTCCTCCTAACCTGACCCTCACTGCTTTGGTTTTGTTTTGTTTGTAAAACAGCCTGTTCTCGGGTTGCAGAGCGTCCCTTTCTGGGTGTGGAGGCCAGTTTTCATGAGTCAGGGTCTGAAGAGGAGATATGGAGTCAGCAGGATACAGACACAGGAAGCTTCTTTTAGGCCAATAGGTTCTCTCTTTACTTTAGGAGAAAACACACGTGCACACGTGCGTACACACACACACACACACACACACACACACACACACACACGGCATATGGAGTCTCTGCAGGATTAAGTTCCTCCTCCCCACTTAAAGCCAGACAAAACAGCCTCGTTAGGGGACTGGGATCCACAGGCAGGCAACAGAGTCAGAAACTAAAAAGTAATCATAAAAATCTTAAAAGAATCACAAATCTAAACTTTTATATAAAAAACAGTCATTTATACTTTAAATACTCAGGGTGCATACTTATACATTAACAATTTTTGTTGTTGGTGGTGGGTTTTTTCTGTTGTTTTTTTCAGACAGGGTTTCTCTGTGTAGCTCTGGCTGTCCTGGAACTCACTCTGTAGACCAGGCTGTCCTCAAACTCAGAAATCTGCCTGCCTCTGCCTCCCAAGTGCTGGGATTAAAGGCGTGCACCACCACTGCCCTGCTAACAATTTTTTATTAAATCATATTTACTGTAAGATTTATTGTAAGATTTATTGTAAGATCACACTGTGAACCCCAAGATCATGGTATTGACTGGGAAAAAAACTGTTTCTGATTGTGGTGTGCCTCAGCCCTTAGCATACACACCTTTAATTCCAAACAATGAAGATAAAGTTAGTTTGTAGAAGGAAGCACTCATGTTTGAAAGTGATGTCTAGTTGAGTGGCAGACAAAGTGACGAATCAGATTTGACAGAATAGGATACGCCCAACTTCCATGAGAACAGAGAGGAAAGAGAGACTGCTTTAAGAGAAAGCAAGAGACAGAGATCAGAAGGAGGGAAGCAGTTTGCCTGGAGAATTTTACAGAGACAGGCTTAAGAGAGAACAAGTGAAGCTAGACACAAGTGAAGACAGAACAAAGCCAGAGGAGCAACTCAGTTAGAAGCTGAGAGAAGCCAGATTGAATCAGTAAGCTTAGAAAGGGTTTGAACCAGAAGAGTTGAGTTGAATCAGCCATCCAGAGTTCAGAAAGAAAAAGGGTGAGCTTATTCAACAGTAAGTCTCAGAAGCTGAAAGCATTGTAGACCTAGATAAGATTGTACAGAGGCTAGAAGCTTCCAGGCCTAGGCTCAACTATCAAGAGTGTGCCTTTCTGAAATTTAAATTGTTCCCCAAGATTTCCTACATTAAAGCCATTAACAAAAACAACCTAACTATACTAACAATCTATATCTCTACATTCTTTTAAGTCTTGTGACTGAATCATCAATCTGTCCGGCAGCAATGCTTGAAAATGATCAATCATTACTATTTTAAGAGTCAGTGACACTTGCTGGGGTGATCTTTATGTGCACTGTGTAGAGACTGTCTCTGTATCATTCAGAGCCGATTTCTGTGTTGGCAGGCCAGACTTTGATATTGATAAGCATCACTTGTCATAGTGTTTTGTAAACACTCCCTCCAGCACAGTCTGATTGATTTAATGAAAAGCTACATGCCCTATAGCTGAGGGAGGAGAAGAAAGGCAAGACTTCTGTGGAGAGTTAAGGACTCTGGGAAAGAATCTGAGGTGGGGAGGTTCACCAGCGAGACACAGAAGAAGCCAGATGTATGAAATTGAGGAAGGGGAACAAGCTACGTGGCAGACATAGATTAATATAAATGTGTTAGTTTAAGTTATAAGAGGTAGTTGGGAACAAATAAACTAAGGCCTAAAGCTTTCATAATTAATAAATGGTCTCTGTGTCATTCTTTGTGAGCTGACTGGCCTAGAAATCCTAACGGTGACAGACATTACCCAGTGAGGGGCTGGAACTCCCCTTAGAGTGTTCATACAACCCATAGATTATGGGCAAAGCGGTGACCTCAAGGGCAACAAGCAGAGGGAAACTTCATAATAGTGTCAAGTCCTCAGGATGTGTAGTCCTTGGGACTCTGCCTCTACCAGGCACACCCACGGTGATTGTGCTAACCACTGGGCGATCTTCCATGAGTTCTAAGGCTGTTGTTTGTTGTTCCCACACAGCCCCTGACGTGTGGGCTCCTGAAAGTCATCTTGCTTTTGTCTTTACTGTAAACCCTGTCTGTCCAGCCTCGACCTCACCAGGGTGCTTCTTTGGATGAATGAGTTTCCTAGTACAAGAGAACCTTGGTGATGGGGAGCCGAGGAATACCACAGTCACACCATACAGCACTCCTCACTCAGATTTCTAGAGGAGAAACCCATAATGGCAGCTACCTCTGACCAGAACTGAGACAGCACTGGGCTGGGCAGAGGATCAGGCTTTTATAGGGTCTTTGGAGAATGCACAGTGTGCTAGCAGTGAGGTACAGAGTAGCCAGGATTATTGTTTGGCCAATAACCCTGAGTCATGGGGTAGAGATTTCCAAGTCCCTAGTTTGGGGACAGGCAAGAGGCAGGGTGGTTTTCCACTGGCCTGTTACCCTACTATGAGAAGCCCAAGGTGGCCTTGAAGAAATATGGGATACCTAGTGACTAATATCTCCAGGATAGTACTGTCATGCTTGCTCATTCCTTGAGATTGGTTTCCTTGTTAGTACTGATTAAGGCTAAGTGTGATGCCGGGCGATGCTGGGTGATGCTGGGTGATGGTGTCGCACACCTTTAGTCCCAGAGGCAGGTGGATCTCTGTGTGTTTCAGGCCAGCCTGGTCTACAGAGGAAGTTCCAGGACAGTCAGGGCTACACAGAGAAACCCTGTCTCGGGTCTCAAAACACAAACAAATTGTAGATGCAGGTGCTGGAGCTCACAGCCTGCGTGAGTGGCACAGCAGAGCAAGTGTGTGGGTCACAGAACCTAGACTACACTCTCCAATACCCTCTCAACTGGCTAATGTCTCCTTATCAGGAAGCAAGAGACACTAAGTGTACTGCATCCTGCTTGACGGTGCTTCAGTGGGATAGTTTCAGCTTTAACAAAAACACAGAGCTTTGAGCTGGAAGGATGTCTCAGCAGTTAAGAACACTTGCTGTTCTAATAGGGACCACTGCAGTCAGGCTTACAGAGCTAACTCCAGTTTGAAAGACTCTGGCACCCTCTTCTGGTTGTCATGCACTCATGTGTACATATCCATTAACTAAAAATAAAACAAACCTTTAACTAAAATCACACCTTCCAATTCAGGGTTTTGCCCTTTAACTTCTATTATTATGGTGGCGAATACCCATTATCTTGATGGCAACTGTACTTTGGATTTCGTATCTTCCTTCCAGGTGAGTAGAACGTGATAATGAGGTACAGTGCTAACTCAGTCAAGGCATCAGAATGGGAAACTTGGGGCTGAGATGGAGGTCGGTTGGTTGTGCCTGCCTAGCACACACTGAACCCTGGGCTCAGTCCTCAGAACTTTATAAACTATGCATAGAGGTGTGTGCCTAAAAGCCTAGCACTTGGGAAGTGGAAACCCACAGGATCAGAGACTCAAATATGATCTGCGATGTCAGGATATCTAATTTCTTCTTGTTCCTTTTTTGTTCATGACTAACTACTGTGTCCATCAGCAACCAACAACCACCCACCAAACCTTTCAGGCCTCCAACATTTATATACCCTCTAAAAAGTCCCCAGACAATCTAAAGGAGCCTCATAGCCCATGCTTGAAATTAAAATGAAAACATATTCTTAAAATATTTCTGTTTTTTTTTTAAAGAAGCCAAAATCCCACAACTATCACAACACATGTGCACACCCACAGAGAAGAGAGGGGTAGGGCCAAGGCTCACTTGGAAAAGTACAGGTCACACATTTGAGAGCCAAGTTGGAACACAATAATCATGCATAAAAACCAGGGCATCTTTTGTGCTGTGATTTTTAGCGTTGTTAACTAGATAAGGCCTAGAATCACATAAGAAGAGTATCTTTGGGGGAGGGGCATGTTTTAGAGACAGGGTTTCTCTGTGTAACAGCCTGGCTGTCCTAGAACTCACTATGAAGACTGGTCTGGCCTTCAACTCAGAGAGATATGCCTACTTCTGCCTCCTGAGTGCTGGAACTAAAGGCGTACACTACCACACCTGACTAGGAAGAGAGTATTAAGGAAAGGAAGTCTAGATTAGGTTGATCTAGACTTGTTTGTGGGAATTCTCTTTGTTGATTGAAGTGCCAAGACTCAGCCCACTGTGGATGGCCCCATTCCCTAGGCAGGGGCCTCTGGACTGGGTAAGAGTGGAGAACATGAACTCAGCGTAGACATGTGCACATTCATCCACCACACTTTGCTATTGACCGTGGATGTACTGCGGTTAGGTCCTGCTGATGTGACTTCCTTGCTCTGGCTCCTCTTGAACTCATAGAGATGGTCCTGCATCTACCTCCTGGTTTCAAACCATGCACCTCGATGCCCAGATGGATTGATTGATTGATTGATTTAAAATTTTATTTCTTCATTTTTATTTCATGTGCATTTTTGTCTTGCCTACATGCGTGTCTGTGTGAGGGTGTCAGATCCTCTGAAAGAGGAGTTACAGACAGGTGTGAGCTGTCGTGTGAGTGCCGTGAAGTGAAGCTGGGTCCTCTGGAAGAGCAGCCAGTGCTCTTAACCGCTGCTGAGCCGTGTCTACAGCCTCCTAGATTTATTTTTAATCATATGTGTGTATGTGGGCGTATGTACAGGTATGTGTATATGTACAGGTATGTGTAGTACTTGGAGAGGCCAAAAGACAGAGTTTGGTCCCTTGTAGCTGGAGTTACAGGCAGTTAATTGTAAGCTGCCTAGTGTGAACACTGGCAAGGGAATTTCGTCCTCTCTAAGAACAGCGAGCACTCTTAACAGCTTGGCCATCTCTTTAGGGTTTGTTTGTTTGTTGAAATTGAGTGTCATGTAATCCAGGCTGATCTCAAACTCTTACTGTGTATCAGAACTCTTTATCTCCGTGTCTCCCCAACCCAACCACTGGGATTTACTGTTGTGTCTCCATGTGTGGAACATGCAGTATTGGAGACCAAATCCAGGGCCTTCTGCATGGTAGAAACTCTGCCAAGCAAGCTACATCCACAGTCCAACAACCTGCTCTCTCGAAAATAAAATAAAATAAAATAAAAATAGAAACAAAAAGTTTCATGGCTGGGCATAGTGGTGCATGCCTTAAATGTAGCACTGTAGATGCCGAGGAGAATCCAGTAGGGTTCCCTGAGAACTTCTATAGTTTGTAGCCATTCCTCTTAAAGGTCCCATAACCTTGTCACGTGACACTGGTGGCCTATTCATCTTCTCCAGTACATGAACCCAAAGGGAAACAAATCCCAACTTTTCTTTTTTCTTCAATTTTCATGTGAAACACCTCTCAAGGCCCAGGGACAGATAGGGCTTCTGAGAAGACTTGAGTCTTGGAGGCAGCCATTGTCTCTAGTGCTTCTGATGTTCAGCCAGGCAGGCATTAAATGATACATTTGGAGATAATCATGTGTCAAGCGGTGTGCTAGTTTCTAGGGAACTAAGAACAAATGAATACAGTCCTCTCGGGAAATCAAGGTAGGTGCGAGCCACCAGCAATGACTGCACACAAAGTTAATTACAGCAATGTGAAGCGTGATAAAACCCAGTGCTTTAAAAAAGAAAAAGAAGAGCTGCCCATTGGTGCACACCTTTAATCCCCACAGAGGCAGAGGCAGGCAGATCTCTAGGTTCGACACCAGCCTGGTCTACAGACTGAGTTCCAGGACAGCCAGGGCTACACCAGGGCCATGTTTGTTATTTGAAGCTCTGTTTCAAATAACAAACAAAAACTCTGGATACTTTCAGGGCTTTTCAACAGAGGACTTTCTAACACCCTGATAACTCTACCTTTCCTTCCCCTGCTCAAACCTTCCCCTGGGTCTCAGGTCTCAGCCACCCTCAGAAGACAGATAAATTCCCTACTAGAATACTCCAGAGTCTCTCCTGGCCTGCTGGTACTTCACAGTTTTTTAGACAGGGATTTTTTAGACAGGGTTTCTCTAAGTAGCCATGGCTGTCCTGGAACTGGCTTTGTAGTCCAGGCTGGCCTCAAACTCAGAGATCCACCTTCCTGTGTCCTGAGGGCTGAGATTAAAAGTGTAACACAACCACTGCCTGGCCCTCCTCCTTCTCCTTCTCCTCCTCCTCCTCCTCTTCTTCTTGAGACTAAAAGTCTCTCCTGGTATCCTAGGGTGGCTTCAGATTCACAGCAATTCTTCATAGGGCTTCCATGATCTGGGATTACAGGTATGGGCCACAATACCAGGATTTCTTCGCTCCTCTCACCTTTCCTTTCTCTGTTTTTTGCTTTGAGTAAGGGTCTCAATATCTAGCTTAATTGACCTGTCACTTACTATGTAGACTTGTGTTTTATTTTAAAAAAAAAAAAAGCCAGGATATGTTATGGTAGAGCGAGGTATGGTGAGGTGAGAAGGGGGCCTCAGCGGGCCCATACTGAGGCATCCCTTCTCCCTGAAGCCTTGTAGTATGTAGTATGTAGAACCAGATGTAGTACCATGTAGTACCAGATGTAGTATGGAATAGAGGTTATTTATGTCATGGAAAGTGGAGTTGGGAAGGGAGGAGAGAGAGGAGAGGGGAGAAGAGGAGAGAGAGGAGGGAGGGAGGAGAGAAGAGGAGAGGAGAGGAGAGGGAGAAGAGAGAGAAGAAGCCGTCCAGGTACACGTGGAGGGGGTACAAGGGGAGAGAAGGAAAAAGGGGTCAGGTGAGAAGGAGCAGAGAGTAGGAGAATAAGAATAAGTGAGCAAGAGAGGGAGGGAGGGGACAAACAGTCCCTGTTATAGTAGGTCAGGCATACCTGACTGTTGCCAGGTAACTGTGGGGCGGAACCTAGAAAGACGGCTAACGGGCTGGAGAGGTGGCTCAGAGGTTAAGAGCACTGACTGTTCTTCCAAAGGTCCTGAGTTCAATTCCCAGCAACCACATGGTGGCTCACAACCATCTGTAATGAGACCCGGTGCCCTCTTCTGGTGTGTCTGAAGACAGCTACAGTGTACTCACATACATAAAATAAATAAATTTAAAAAAAAAGAATAGTATTAAAAAAAAAAAAAAAGAACGCTAACGTAGACCGGGCTGATCTCAAGTTCACAGACATCTGCTTGCTTGTAGCTCCCAAGGCTGGTATTAAAGATGTAGCCACCACGCACAGACTGGTTTTGTGTTTTGAGACAGATTCTTATTTAATAGTGCAGCTTGGACTCAAACTATGCAATCCAGGCTTGCCTCAACAAAACTCTTTAGCAATCTTTTTGCTTCACTCTATCGGAGGTATGGACCATCACTCTGGTCAAGTGTTTTTGTTTTTGTTTTTTTCCAGATTGGGACAATCTCACTATAGTCCTACCTCAGCCTCCCAATGCTGGGATGACAAATATATCCTAGGCAGGCTTTGAACTTGTAGTAATTCTGCTTTAACCTCCTTAGTGTTCTCTACCGTGAATATACGGGAAGAGAAATAATGGAAGAAAAGAAACAACTCTGGGAACCAGTCCAGGTTCGGGAAGATCCGCGCACGCGCACACTTAGTGATGGAGGCCCCGCCCGCGCACGGTGATCACGTGACCAGCCCTGCGGGGCGGAGGCCATGTTGCGGGGCACCCACGTGAGGACCGCACGTCCGCGAGCAGTCACGTGACCGGGGCGCGCCGCTGCCGGGGCGCACCCGGCGAGAGGCAGCGGCAGTGATGGACGGGTCCGGGGAGCAGCTCGGAGGCGGCGGTGAGGCGGGAGGCGGAGGACTAGGCCCGGTCCAAGGACCCCAGGACGCCTCCGGCTCTGGGATCGGGCGGGAGCAGGCTGGGCGTGGGGATCCATTCCGACTGGCGCCTCCGCACCCTGAGAGCGGACATCCGCGTGCGCGCCCCCGGGCAGGCCCGGGCTTGTCGCTGGCGCCACTTCCTGCTGGTGGCCTGGGATGGGTCAGAAGGCCAGCACCACCACCCCAGCTGGGGCTCTGTTTGCTTTTGACATTCCGCTGTCTGGGTTTGCGGAGGAGCTGGGATGCAGGCCGGGTCCCGCCCCCCGTCCATCAGAAGCAGTAGCCGGGCTTCCCATGCTACTTGTCACTACTAGGGTCCCCAGCTCTGTCTCCCCTCAGGGTTATGAGCCTACTCAGCCCCCTGACTCTCCCTGGGACCCAGGAGTCCAGGCACCCCTTTCCTTCTCTCTCCACCAGGGCCCACCAGCTCTGAACAGATCATGAAGACAGGGGCCTTTTTGCTACAGGGGTGAGTGTGAGACCCTATTGTGGCGGGATGGGCTTTAAGAACACTCTTGGTTCTTACTTTATGCTCCTCTCCCCTTTTCCATTCACCTGTAGTTTCATCCAGGATCGAGCAGGGAGGATGGCTGGGGAGACACCTGAGCTGACCTTGGAGCAGCCACCCCAGGATGCATCCACCAAGAAGCTGAGCGAGTGTCTCAGGCGAATTGGAGATGAACTGGACAGCAATATGGAGCTGCAGAGGTGTGGTTCCTGAGACCTGGGGTCCATCATGGGGTTTCCTGTCACTTCAAGAACTCGGACGCTAGGTGTCCTCCACTCAACTCAGATAGTCTGTGCTGTGGATAGAATCCAGGGCCGGTTTACATGGTAGGCCAGCCTTTTACCCTTGAGCTGCAGCCCACAACCCCTTGCTTGGTGAGTGTTAGGCAAGTTTTTTCTTCTGAGCCATGTGTTTGTCCTCTTGATTGTGGGTGCTTGGCAGGTGCTCTACAATTGAGCCATACCTCCAGCTTGTCACTGGTGGGTTCTAGGTAGGTAATGCTCTATTACCAAGCTGTGCTCACAGCCCCTCACTGGTGACTGCTAGGTGAAGCTCTACCTTTGAGCCTCTCACTGGTGGATGCTGTGGAAATACTGTACCATAAAGCCATGTAATCAGCCCCTCACTGGTGCTTGCAGGTACTCTACCACTGAGCCATGCCTCTGGCACCCCAATACAGTGAGGTGCTTGACCACAAAATCATGCCTCAAGCCCCTCAAGACAGGTGTTCCATTGCTGAGCCGTGGCCCAGCCCTCCACTTGTAGAGATACTTAGGAAAACATGCGTCTGCTGAGTTAAGACCCTAGTCCACATACTCCTCAGGACCCTGAGTTTCCAATTCAAGGTACCATTTATCTTCTTCGCTTTCTTAGGTGTCCGTCTTGTCTCCTCCGTCCATTAGCCTCCGTTTCAGCTTGGGCTGGTCCTTGTTTCCTTATCATTAGTCTGGGGAAAATGTGGGAACTCCCATACTGGGTCTGACATCTTACCCAGCATCTGTTTGTCCCTCTCCTGTAGGATGATTGCTGACGTGGATACAGACTCCCCCCGAGAGGTCTTCTTTCGTGTGGCAGCTGACATGTTTGCAGATGGCAACTTCAACTGGGGCCGGGTGGTCGCCCTTTTCTACTTTGCTAGCAAACTGGTGCTCAAGGTGGGCAGCCCCAGGGTGATAAGCCCAGAGGGCACCCCTCTCAGGTCTGTGTGGACCTGGGGGTGGTGAGAGGTCCGGGCAATGGAGAGAGGTGGCTGTGTACTAAATTCCTGTACCTTTCTTTATTCATTTGACAGATGTATTGGCTCTAATGTGTGATGGGCTGCCTCTAGCACCTGACCTCTGCTCCAAACAGAGCAGGCTAGCCCTTCCTTGATGGAGCTCTGGGTGGTGGATAGGTATACGGTATTGAGATGGATCAGGGTAGTCTCGAAAGATTTCTTAGTGCAGGTGGGCTTAAAACTGGTCTGGTGGCACATGCCTGTAATTCCAGGACCCATGGGACCGAGGTAGGAGTACCAGGAGTCAAAGGTTAACTGCAGTTAAGTTTCAGGCTATCCTGAGCTACCTAAGACCTAGGGTTTTTGTTTTGTTTTATTTTGTTTTTGTTTTTCACAAACAGAAATGGGCATGACAGTAGATGCGGTCGTGCAGCTGAGTTTGGGGCCTGAGCATAGCATGTGTGAAGCCTTAGGTTCTGTCTCCCATCACCATGCACACAGATACCAGTGAGGGGTTGGGACTGTAGCTCAGGCGATAAGAGTGCTTGGCTAGCATGTATACCAACCCTGGGTTCAGTGCCACATCAACGAGGTGTGATCAGGACATGTTTGCAGTTCTAGCACTTGAAGAGGTCATATTTATTTATTTATTTATTTATATTTACTTAGGTTTTTCGAGACAGAGTTTCTCTGGGTAGCCCTGGCTGTCCTGGAACTCACTCTGTAGACCAGGCTGGCCTCGAACTCAGACATCTGCCTGCCTCTGCCTCCTGAGTGCTGGGATAAAAGGCGTGCGTCACCACCGCCCAACTAGAGATCATCTTTAGATACGGAGAAAGTTCAAGACCAGGCTGTGGTGGGGCGTGTCAGGTCAGGGAGATGCTGCACATCTGCTGTGGCATATTTTACTTGTTATTCTTATTGTTACTGTCACATTTGGGACACTCTTGATTGTCCTCCGTGCCATCCCCCACCTTCTTGATGTAGTTTCATGCCTGAGCCAACGGGTCTTCAGCAAGTCCTGAGTCTGCCAGGAGCTGGTCTTAACCTGGTCTAGAAAACCACTCTAGAAAGTGACTTAGGACCCTAGCTTTGAGTAGTGTGAGAGCTTCAGGATTAAGGCTTGTTCAGGCAGAGGCAGTCTGCATTAGAGACTGATAGATATGTAGGGTTGGATTGCCTGCTCTGGTGGCCAATGATGTGGGCAGTGCTGGGACACTCCGGCTCAAAACAACAGAACTGGGAGGGAGTCTTCAGGGGGGACCTGAGGGCTTTCAGGCTTTTCCAGATCGCCAGAGTGTCCCCAGAGACCCAGATCCAACTAGGTCCCCATAGAGTCCTGAAACTCCATACCCTTGTCCTTCCAAAAGAACTAGGTGTCTGGGCCAGGACTAGTAAGTAGTACACGCCTTTAATTCCAGCACTCAGGGCAGAGGCAGTTAAATCTGAGTTCTAAGCCATCCTGTCTACAGAGTTCCAGGACAGCTAGTGCTACATAGAGAAATCTTGTTTCTAAAAATAGATAGATAGATAGATAGATAGATAGATAGATAGGTAGATACATAGATCAATCGAACCAAACTCTAGGTATCAGTCCTGTCAGTCAGCTCAAATATTCTGGACTCCTCGCTCTCTTGTCAATGTTTGGTTTTGGAGCTGGGATGGGACCCAGGGGCACACAGAGGCTAGGCCATTGCCCTACGATTGAGCCTTCCCTCTGAGCGTTTTGGTTTTTACCTAGAGGGCGCTGAGGAGTCAGGGCTCCTGAGCAGGTAAGTGAAGCTCCTTAGTTTATAATGAATGGAGCTGACGTAAAGTACAGGGGAGAGACTGTTTAGTAAAGGCAGAGGATTCAAGCCAAGGCTCGAGGTCACCTCTGCGCAGTGGGGGCAGGATTGTCCCCAAGTGTAACCTTCCCACTCCCTGCAGGCCCTGTGCACTAAAGTGCCTGAGCTGATCAGAACCATCATGGGCTGGACACTGGACTTCCTTCGTGAGCGGCTGCTTGTCTGGATCCAAGACCAGGGTGGCTGGGTGAGACCCCTCAGCCCTAGCTATACTTGAGAGCAGTGGCTCTCAACCTTCCTGATGCTGTGACCCTTTAACACAGTTCCTCATGTTATCACCCCCAGCCTTAAAGTTATCTCATTGCTACTTCATAACTGTAATTTTGCTGCTGTTATGAATCATGATGTAAAATTTGATATGTGAGTCCTGTGGGGTCGTGGACTATAGGTTGAGAGCCACTCTTTCAGATGTAAGGGTCACCACAGAGGTGCCCCAGGCATTCAGACAATGACCTAAGATGTGTGTCCTTAGATCTAACAGATTGGTACTTCTGGTACCCACTGACTTTTCTATGGCCTGACTTGATTGGTCCCTGCCTTTCCAGAATCTCTCAAATGCACTGGCAATCCTTTGACGCCCAGCTTATTGTGTTTCTCACTTATTTATTTACTTAGTGAGATGGTCTCATGTATCTCAGGCTGTCCTCAGACGCACTCTGTAGCTGAAGATGCCCATGAACGTCTGAGACGTCTGAGATCCTGCTTCCACATGTCAGTCTATGTGCTGTTGGGATAGACCCCAGGCCTTGTGCTCTCTAGGCAAGCACTCTTCAGGCTGAGCTGCAGCCTTTGTCTTCCCTGTCATGTGTACATGGCTCGTCTGGAAGTTACTATGTAGCCTATGCTAGTCCAAACATGTGCTCTCCAGTCTTACCTTCTCAAGAGCTGGGATTACAGGTGTGAGCCACCATTTACATATTATAATCATGGTTTTATTTTCCTTTGTTTTCCCATTTTGGGATCATGTGCTGAGTGGGGGTACTTTTTACTTACTTTTTACATTCATTTTGTGTGTGTGTGTGTGTGTGTGTGTGTGTGTGTGTACATCAGAGGATAATTTGCAGTAGTGTGTTCTCTCCTATCCTGTTGGTTCTAGAGATGAAATTTGCATTGATAAAGGCCTGGCAACAAGGCAACAAGGCAACAAGCACCTTTTCTGCATGAGCGTCTTGCTGGCCCTAAGTTTTGTTTTTTGGAGTGAGGGTCTCAGTAAACTTCCCAGGATGGCATTAGACTTATAACCCTCCTTCCCAGGGTTCCTGAGTGCTGGCTTATAAGCCTGGGAGCTCCTTACCACACCTTCATGTGAAATCTCTTCTCCTTGTAATTTGGTATTGAAGTAACACCAATGTCTCTGTTCTCAGGATGGCCTCCTCTCCTACTTCGGGACCCCCACATGGCAGACAGTGACCATCTTTGTGGCTGGAGTCCTTACCGCCTCACTCACCATCTGGAAGAAGATGGGCTGAGGCCTCCCACTGCCTTGGACTGTGAATTTTCTTCATAAATTATGACATTTTCCTGGGATGAATGGGGAAGGGGAAAGGCATTTTTCTTACTTTTGTAATTATTGGGAGGGGTGGGAATGGTGGCCTGGGGAGGCGCCAATAAACCTCAGGTCCGTTTGGATTGTATGGTCCAGTGTCCACCCAGCTGGCATCACAAGCACAGGTACCAGGTCCACCATCCACCTGAGGCATCCAAACAGGGACCGGCAACAATACCTCTCCATAAAGACACTGCAGCTGCAGTGCTGTCTTTAGCCCTTGGGGACAGGAGCCTGGAATTCCAGACATCCAGCTGATTCTGAAAGAACAGAATGGAGGGAGGGAAGAGGCCACAGGAACTGGAGCAGACTCCTAGATGCTGGTTACCAGAGAGGCACCAGAAGTGAAGAGGAAGACAATTTAAGGGACTGTCTTTTTCTTCCACCCCCACCCTACCCCGAGTCTCTGAGATGCTGCCACCTGCATTTGTGCACCCCTCTCCTCTTTGGGTCCTTGTCCCCTGTGGGTTCTGTGTTTATCTTTTTCCACCTTTACAGCCTTGTCCAGGCCTGTTGGGTTAGAAGTCAAAGGTCAGGTTCTGAAGCACTGTGGTTAATGAGTAACCCTGGCCCCCAAATCAACAGGCCACCGCAGACATCAGGTCAGGAGAAAGATATGTGTAGGACAGCCACTACAGAGTCATACAATTGCCTGACCACACATTCAGGGAAAAGAAGGGAGTAGGGGAAAACAGACCACAACCCCCTCAGAGCAAGGGGACTACAGGCTGTCTGCCTGGGTGTGGCCTGTGGCCCGACCCACAACTGCCAACAAGCTGAGCTCAGCGTGACTCAGCAGTGCTGGCCTTGTTACCCCCTCCACTGAGGTCCTCAGCACCGCGTGCCCGGTAGGCCTCCCTTGACCAATCTTTACTGTTTCTTCCGTGATGGGGCAGGTCTCCCTTTCCCCTCCTTTGAAGCTCCTGAGGTTAAACCCTGGTATGAGCCTGTCCTGTCCTCAGAAGTCCACTTGGACCTTGCATACATCAGCTGTTCTGTGGAAGACTAAGTCTGTTCCTGGGACCTGAGTTCTTGTTCTCCCTAACTCTGGCTTCTCTCCAAAAGAGCAAGCTGCAAGGAGGCTTCTGGACCAATCCCCAGGAAAGAGCCCAGAAGTTCTCCCAAGCACCACTATGCGTATCTCTGTTCCTAGAAAAACAGGTCCACTGACCCAGACACAGATAGGCTGACCAGAACTCCAAAGTGCTGCCTGGGCCTCCACATGTCGCTTTCCAGAGCCCCAGAGACTCCTGCAAACGCGGCAACCCAAGGCTCTCTACCCTTCCCATCCCGCAGACCACCTCAAAGGGCTTCAAGACCTCCAAGGTGCCAGAAAAACAAAAAATAAACACCTTAGTTCCTATCATGAACCTAAACCCTACACTTCTGGGTACCGCCTTCCATTCCCTCAAGGAGCTCTCTAGAACCTTCCGAGTACCAGCCTTCCTGTGAAGTTATAGCCGTTCATCAGGTGGAGCGACTGGGTACATGGAGGCTTCTCCCTGCATTACAGACATTACTACCCCACACTCAGTACGTCCCCTGAATCATATTCTCAGGCTCCAAAACTGCTTTTGTGGGCCACCCCTGCCCGGGGTCTCAGTGACCTGGAGCCTGGAACCCTGCGACTCCGCAGAACCGCCTGCGCATCCGGACCACCGCCCCTCCCCCAGGCCTCCATTTCACAACGGCCTCGCGCTCTAGGCGCGTGATTCCGCTCATGGGACCCGGTGGGTGGGGGGCGAGCTTGCCCTCGGCTCCGGATTGGTCAAGTCTACTTTTCCGGCTCCGCCTCACGCCACCGCCGATTGGGCCTAGGGCGCCCCGCCCTCTGGGGTCCGCACACTATAAAAGAAGCGGTCCCGGCTCGGCCTGCGCAGCGCCTTGGAGGTCCCGTGGATCTGTGTCTTGCTTCAACAGTGTTTGGACGGAACAGACCCGGGGACTCCCGCTTCCTTAGCTTCCAGCCGCCTCACTGCCTTCCAGTCGCAGCCTCCGGGACCATCTCCTCGCCGCCTTCGGCTCCTAGGACCAGCCAGCCCAGTCTTTGCGGTTAGCTCCAAACTCCGGATCAGCCATGACCTCTCAGATTCGTCAGAACTATTCCACCGAAGTGGAAGCTGCCGTGAACCGCCTGGTCAACTTGCACCTGCGGGCCTCCTACACCTACCTCTCTCTGGTGAGTCGCTCGGGGCGGCTCCGAACGGAGACCCTCACGCCCACCCTCCTGCGCATGCGCGGCCCGTCTTTGTTCCACACAGGGACTGCGTTCCGGCCTCCCTGCCCCCCCCCCCCACTTGTATATTTGTAGTTTTGTCTGACTGGAAGTCGCTGGGCCGACCGGGCTGCCCTCGAAATCACACACGCATTGCCTCTGCCCCTTGAGCGTTACGGTTGAAGTTTAAGCGGTCCGTTAACTCGTGTTTGCAACACTCGTTCCTGCAGGGCTTCTTTTTTGACCGGGATGATGTGGCTTTGGAGGGCGTAGGCCACTTCTTCCGCGAACTGGCGGAGGAGAAGCGCGAAGGCGCCGAGCGTCTCCTCAAGTTGCAGAACGATCGCGGGGGCCGTGCACTATTCCAGGATGTGCAGGTAAGAGCCCGGCATTGGGCGCCACCGCACATGCCGTGAACTTGCCGTCGGTTTTACTGTTGGCTGGGAGGATGTAAACTAGTTCTGAGGCTTTGATGTTCTTGGCTGCAGAAGCCATCTCAAGATGAATGGGGTAAAACCCAGGAGGCCATGGAAGCTGCCTTGGCCCTGGAGAAGAACCTGAACCAGGCCCTCTTGGATCTGCATGCCCTGGGATCTGCCCGTACAGACCCTCATGTAAGTACCTTGGTAATCATTTCTTCCCTCCTTTGACAGAACCTAAGCTGTCTGTGTTAGCTTTCAACTCCCAGTAATTTAAGCCTCCTGCTCACACGTGTCTCTGAGAGCTGGGTTTCTGATGTCTTTCCTTCTTTACAGCTCTGTGACTTCTTGGAAAGCCACTTCCTGGATAAGGAGGTGAAGCTCATCAAGAAGATGGGCAACCACCTGACCAACCTCCGTAGGCTGGCAGGGCCACAACCAGCGCAGACTGGTGCGCCCCAGGCGTCTCTGGGAGAGTATCTCTTTGAGCGCCTCACTCTCAAGCACGACTAGGAGGCCTCTGCACCTTCAAGGGGCTCCCTCCTCTGCTCTGCACTAGCCCGCCTCAGAACCTCCACCCGAATGAACCTCTCAAGCCACTAGGCAACTTTGTAACCGCCCTGGAGCCTCTCCCAAGTCTTGGACCAAGTGAAAATAAAGCTTTTTGAAACAGCAGCTGGTGGTTTTTCTGTATATGTGGGAGAGTTTCCTGGGTAAGAAGAGGTTGGCTCTGGTCCTGTTTACTGTGGGAACCCACATGCAGTGGTTTTTGGCTCTATGGTTGTAACTGCCTTTGCATACAGCAGGTCCAGGTCCTAGAAGTCTGCTGTAGCAGTTTGTCTAGTCCTTGGTTTGTGTTACTGTGCAGGGAAATGAAAAGGCTTCAATACCCAAGTTCAGAAATGGGCTAAACATACAAATGGACGGTTAGGAGGAAAGGGACATCTGAAGCGTGAGTTGTAGTAAATGCCAGTACAAGGCATGCACCAAGGGTGGGCAGCCAGGGTCACTGGGTATCTACTGGATTCTGAACTAGATGCTGGGGCCCATCAAAAAGAGGATGTGACTTGGGACCATTGCACAAATGGGAAGTAAAGCATTGCAAAAGGCTTAGAACCAGGAGGTGGGGGTGGGACACTGGACAGTACTGCTGTGTCAGCTCAGACTGGTAGAAAGAAACCCAGGGTCGTATGAAGCCACATACACCCTTTGCTCAGTATCCTGCCACTGCTCTTGGTGAAGCAGTCATGTGGACAGGAAGCTGACCCAATACAAGTACAGCTTTCTAGTCAGATCACTAGAACTCAAGTCATACAGAGGTCACTGAGGCTAAAAGTAAGCAGGCCCATGGAGTCCTGAGAACCTGCTAAAGGGATTCTGACAATGATGTCCACAAGGGGAATAGTGTTACTGAGAAACGGTTTAAGTTTTTGGTCAAAGTTCCAGGGTTGGAACTTAAGTTTCTCACTGTGTGAGGTTAACACTTTGCTTAGGGACATGTGTCCAGTTGCTTTTTGCGTTTTGAGACTGAATCTCACCAAATTGCCCAGGCTGGCCCCAGAAACTGTGGTCCATGTAAGCTCTGAACTTTGGATCCTTTGATGTGTGCACTTGTGATTTCCCTATGCGTCTTCCATGTCCGCCGCCTCGTACCCCAGGTCACTGGGACCAACATTTGCCGCTTGCATCTCAAATCTAAGCAGTCAGATGTATCTTTCCTAACAGCAGCACCGGGATCACAGAACAGCAACCCAAACCTGCACAGAAGGGCTAGGCAGAAGACTATGGCGCATGTGAGAGCAGAACTAAAGTCTGGGGGAATCTGGGACTCCTGGTAATGCCAGCACTTGAGAGGCTGAGGTAGGACTGCTGTGAATTTGAACCATTGGGGGCTGGGGGAATATAAGGCAAAAAACCTACCTGAAAACTAACTTTAAAAACAAAGGATGGGGAAGTGAAGGAGACCCACCACAACACAAGAGCTCATGTCCAGCTACAGTTGGCATTCTTAAATACATGTTTTGTTTTTTTTCTTTTCAATCTCTGGACACACTCCACTCACACACCTTCTGCCCTCCCCCTCCCAAATGCAAACCAAAGGCATTGGGCCAGACACAGCACATGTGAGGAAGGGACTGCCCATTCACTGAAGCTGGGGGCAGGACGAAGCTTGCAGGCAGAAAGGCCTCGAGGTACATGTGGGGCTTCAAGAAGCCAGTGGGCTCGGTTTTGCATCAGGAGAGGGGACCAGGGAGCAGCACAGTGACAAGACTCCTGATTCAGCCACTGGGACCCAGGACCCAGTGGTTTCACAGCGGGCTGAGCATTTGTGTGGTTGACAGACATTCTGCCCTCAATGGAGGCATTCCCTAGAGGGGACACTGGACCAGGGAAAAGAATAATGTCTGGTCCAACCCAGGCATGCTCCATAGAAGAAATGAACAGGACGATATC